TTCAGGTCGAGCCAGATTTCATGGGCACTCTCGTTATATATTATACTTGCTCCAATGTCTTCTGCAATTGAATTAAACAACCATGCCTTGACAAGGTTGTTGCAGCGCCTCCATTGTTGAAGTTCTGCGATGGACGTCTCTGGTGGTTCTTGGACGGTGCCGTTGACAAAACCTTCTTTGTTTTTGATGTTGAGAGCCATCAACATGGCACGACTCCAAGAATTGTAGTTTTCTCCATTCAGCGGTTGCGTAACAAGCACGAGACCAGGTTGATCTGAGTAGTGGAGAAAAAAGGGGTCGTTCGGATTATTGAATTTGCTAAATTCAGGTTTTGCTGAATTTTGAGTTTCGTCTGCCATGTGTTTTGACTTAGAAAGAAGATAGATGGGGTTTTTGCGTGGAAGAGGAGATTGTAAGACTCAGAATCGTGTTTACTCTGATACCATGTTAAAACTCAGAATAATGTGGTGGAATACATACATTTTCATTGATATGAATGATGTTATAAATAACCCTTACAATAATCTTGTAATAGGAAAAATAATAAAAAGAAAATGATATGAAAGGAAGGGTATAACACTTAGTATCTCCAATAATTAATTCACATTAATTATTAGAAGATATAGGAAATAACGTAAAATAGGAAAATAAATATCTCATTAATTCTAAGGAAATAATTTATTTATAAGAATAAATTATTTTCTATCATAACTCCTAACAACAATCATAGACAACCCTTTCAACATAGAATATATAATATAAGGCTTATATCTTTAGATGGAATATCCAAAACTATATATATTGTGAACTACATAGGCTAAATAAGGTCATGAATAAACAAAATATATCGCGTGAAGATAAAATCCTATGGTAGCCTAGTATAAAATGAGGCATGCCAAAATAAGCATGTCACTTATATTATTATTCGGTCGAAAAAATAGTTTTAGAGCCAAACCTACTTCATTATGTTATATGGATCATGAATCATTTTAGACACGATTGATTGACCTATGACAGTCTGAATATCAAGTGGGTGATTCAAAAGAGATTGGAGACTGATTGTTTGAATAAAGATTCAAATATGGAGTATTTGCGTGATGTCATGCACTTTGAAGAAAATGAGATCATGAAAGAATTCTATCCCGCTTTAAAAGAAATGAAACATTACAAGCTATAAAGCAAAGGTTTAAAGCTAAATATATAACGCATTTTTGTGTGCTATTAATAAAGTAAATAAATCGTGAATATTTACTTGGCAAAGGGATGTCATTTTAATATTTGATATTACTAGATTATTGCTAAAATAAATTAAGTATTTTTTTAATGTTTATCTTATTCTTGTTGGTCCTTGCACGTTAATTTATATTCATATAAGACTATCATCAAACAACAAGTCTACTAACATTATACTCATAGATTTAATCTTTATTTTCTAAAAATTAAGTCATTTAAAAATTAGATTGGACCAGTTTAATTAGTCAAATCATGAGCTGACCTTCTAGGTAGTTAGGCGTGAGCATTCGGTCAGTTTGGATGTATTGGTTCTCAAATTGGTCAAACCGATTGCAATTGAAATAAAAAATTTGAAAAATTGAATCATTCAAAATTTTAATAAAATTCAACTAAAATCTACATTGGTTTAAACGGTTTACTTTTTGACAAACACCAAGAATTACATATATTATATGTATAATTTAGATTTAATTTTGAAATTTCGGTTTTTTCTATTGGTTTGGTTAAATGAAAATTAAAGGCGACTAATAACCGAAAACCAAATATTGGAGTTTTAAAAACCAGAAACTAAAAGGCATTTTTGAAACCAAACTGAATGAACCAAAGTTAGTTGGTTTAATTCTATTTTTTGGTTTTGACCAAATAATGCACATCACTAAAGCTAGTTCAATCCACTAATAAACTTAAAATTAACGGTCAAACTGATAAAGCAAGCAAACTAACACCTCTATAGTTAGTTTTCGTCATCATGATCAAATTGCCATCATATTTAGAATTAAATGGTTAAAATTTAATATTGAAAAAACGATTTAAGTAAATGAATTAGTAAAATTTTAAACATGTAAGTCCTCCCTTCGCCTCCAATGCCAATTAAATTTATAAGATATAAATTAAAAATAATGTTATAATAAGATATAAAAAAATTTTAATTTCTAGAAGTCACTTCATGCATACAATCTATAATTAAAGATTTTTTTTTTTCACATATTGGCATCGTTCTTGTGACATCTAAATTAATTTTATATTTATTAAGTTATCAGATTCAACTCGGTTAATCATTTAACTTTGAACAATTTCCTTTTTTGATTCAATGACATTGCTACACAAAATTTCATCTGGTTACAAAATTATAATATTTTTTATGAATATTTGTTAAAATTTATGTTTTTGGATGTCTAAATTCTCTAAAATCAAATTGACATGCATTAATATAATTATTTTCATTCACAATGCATAATTCTCTTAGAACTTCATGTATATGGGGAAAATTATTTCATTCGTTCACGGTAAGCAAAAATGCATACCAAAACCCCTCCTGCACATAATAAGCGCTCTATAGCTGGAGATAAAAAGTAGTTTGGAAAGGGTGGAAGGCATAAAGTGGTGAGGAAAAACGATGGCAATGTCATCTCCAGTATCCCCCTTCGCAAAACCCACCGTAGGCTTCCCAGCCAAACCCTACTCTCGTTTCAGGGCTTCCTCTACCGCTCCAATTCCCGATTTCTTCTCTTCCGAATGGTATGTGTCACACCATGGTTTTCTATGTTCAATCCTATCTTGGTTTTTGATATTTTCTTCCATTTATTCTTCAAATTTACTTTTTCTTAATATGCATATTGAGCTCAATATCGAATTTCTTACATGTTACACAACTGATAAATGTTCTTGATTTCTATTTTGTTTTCCGAGATAACCTAATTACCTTTTGTTCAGTACAACGCGTGTTAAAGCTGTGATTTTGATGCTTTTACAGGCTTGAATCTCGCAAGAAAAGACCTTTTGGCCCGAAGCTGGAGGTAAATCTCTTAAGAATAAGTTCCCACTTACACAGTTATACAGTTTAATGAAATTTGCAGTCAAGCTATTGATTTTGTTCATTCTTTTCAGTTTAGTGCTGAGGAAGCAGTCCAGTGTCAGCTTGATGCATTGAAATACAATGATCAACCTCGGGAAGACTATGGTATTGAAGTCATGTACAGGGTACTGCTTACTATAACTGTAAGCTCGGAATAGTTTTGTTAACTAAAATCTAACTACTTTTTTATCCTCAGTTTGCTGGCTTCAATCCATTTGAAAGATCTACTTACTTTGGACCATTCTTTGATCTCGGGCAGGTGACAACAAGTCCCATTATTAGTAAAGTTTGCAAAGAGATCAGAACCTGAAACCTACTTGACATGATAACTCTTAAAAAAATTTAAATTCTGATCAATTTTTAGCTATTTAGTTTGGGATTTGAGAATCATGAGCGAGTTAAATGTTTAAATCAATTAATTTCTTATGAATGATAGGATGTAGCTAAGCGGGATTCAATCAATAGCAGGTCTGAAACAGGATTTATCAAAGTGATAGGATTTGAAGCCCCTAAACAAGCCCCACTAGCCATGATAGAACCAGTATCTTAAACTCGCTCTTTTCATTTTCATGATCTGATACACCATTTTCTTGCAGTTTGAGCGATTTAGGAGATTATTCCACCATTCAACTTACCGAGTTCTTCTTTGCCACAAGGAACAAAAGATTCTAAGCAGTTTGTGGGTGCAAGAGGTATTCCTGTGCTCCTTGTTTTGTGATTGCGTGCTGTGTTTCTGTACAACTACATATAACTGATGTCTGCTTTTGCTGATGGTCATTTAATAGAATCAATTCAAACAGAGAGTTTTAATTAAAGGTTCACGTCCCGAGGAAGAAGAAATCTTCCAGTTCACAATGATTCAGGTTTGCCTCTCTTTCCATTGCTCTTCACCTCTAGTTTACATTGAATGAACTGAGTTCAGGCTACTGATTAACAGAAGATTGGTGGATGTTGGGACGGTTACTGGCTAACTGAGAGCCTACTTCATGATAGGGATGTGTTTCTTGGTGGTGTTGCTTATTGATGCTGTATTTACTATGAGGATAATCAACTCGTGTAGATAAAAGGATTTTAGATTCTGCCAAGGTTGATGTCTGTTTATACTTGCTTTTAGTATGGTCTAATATATGTTATTAGTGTTTAGGCCTAAGAAAATAGTTTAACAGGTTTAAAAATGTTATTTTGCTCATTTATAAATTTATATTCGTGTCCTATATATATATATTTCATTTTTCGCTTTAAAATATAATGTCCAATGTACCATGTTGTATATTTCATATAAATTTCGAAGTCAAACAGTTCTAGTAGTTGTGCTTTCTTAAGTTACATGGCAGTAATATATTGTTTCAAACCTTGACAAATAAGAGTTGACAGTTTGTTGTATATTAATTACTTATTTTAATAAGAATTTAAATAGTTCATTTGCATGTACTGGTGACAGTATACTTCCTATAATGATTAGAAGAGAAAATTAAATTTTAATTATCATAGATTTGAGTATATAACACTGTCATTGTTAGGCCCCAAGCCCCGGATGTGAAAAATGGAGAGTTGCATTGGGTAATCGACAATCATCATTAAACTTGTCAAAAAATCATAACATGAATTCTTTAAAATCCTGTGTAAATGCTAGGGCATCCCTTGAAAACGGCGCTCTGTATGACTTGAGTATTGTGAAAAGTGGTGCAAGATCGCTACATCGATGTCCAGGTGTAGTGTCAAATAAGTAAGAGCTTTCGCATTACGGATGGATGCGGGTAAAGAAGTTAGTCCATGAGGCTAATATTAGGATGAATATAGATACTCTTGCAGGGTAATGAAATTAGTTCATATTATAGTTCATAGAAAGATAAATATCTTATGTACTCTAGAAATTAAATGGACTGGAGAAATGACTAAAGAGATTGATAGTTTAGGTTTTAAACTTTGGTATTCAAATAAAAGTCGCATTAGAGATGGTGTAGGTGTAATTATAGATAAGAGATTGAAAGAAAATGTTGTAAAAATTAATGAATTGAAGATAGAATTATAACCCTTAAGATTGTTGTTGATACTAAAATTTTTAATATTATAAGTGTATATGCTCCTCAAGTAGATTTAGATATTAGTTATAAAGACAAATTCTGAAATGATCTAGAAGAATTAATACAAATGATATCTCTTGAAGAATTAAATTTTTTTGGAGGAAATTTAGATGAACATGTTGGTAAAGTGGTCGAAGATTTTAGAAATATTCATGGTGGCTACGGTTTTGGAGTGATTAATGAAAAATGTTGAACTGTATTATATTTTGCTTTAGCATATGACTTTGTCATTGCTAATACTTTATTTAAGAAACGAGATGAGCGTATTATTATTTATAAGAATGGGTTTAATAAAACACAAATTGATTATTTTCTTATGAGAAGAAGAGGTCACCGAGAATGTAAAGGTTGTAAGATGATTCCCAGTAAAACTTTAAGTATTATTAGTTTTGAATTTTAAGATGAAGAGTTGTAAGATAAAAATTAATAGGAATAATTATCATAGAATTAGATGAAGACACCTAAAAGGCAGAAATAAAATTATTTCTTATAAGGAAACTTCAAGATTTCAATATTTGGAATATTCATGGGAAAAAAATTCTATGCGGAATAAAGTAACAAACACTATTAAACTAGAGATAAAAGATGTACTTGGAGAATTAGAATAAAAAATTTCTATAATTAAAAATAGTTGGTGATATAATAATAACGTTCAAGAAAAAAAAAAATAGAAAAAATTGTGCTATAAAAATTAGTTTAAATGTAAAAGCTTAGAGAATTGAGAAAAATATAAGGTGGCCCATAGGAAGTTTAAGAGAACAATTTGTTACGCTAAAAATTCTAATTTTAGTGAACTTTATAATATATTAGATACTAAATAACGTGAAAAATATGTATAAATTATCCAAACAAAGAGAAAAGAAAAGTAAAGATTTAACCTAAGTAAATTGTATTAAAGATGAAAATCAGGAAGTTCTTTTCTTATAAGAAGATATTCAACAGAGGTTGGTGAGCTATTTTGATAAACTTTTTAATGAAGTTTCTACAAATACAATCGACCTTAGTAATCTTAATATCTTTAAGAATAATTAAATATTTTATTTTTATCATCACATTAGTAAAAAAAAGTTGAAAAGACTTTAAAGAGAATTAATGATGAAAAATAAGTACAATCTGATGATATCTTCATTGAATTGTGGAAATATTTAGGAGATTTAAGAGTTTCTTGGCTTACTAAACTCTTTAATATTATTTTAAAGACTAAAAAGATGTTTGTGGAATGGAGGAGTATTTTGGTCCTCCTTTTTAAGAATAAAAGGGATGCACTCAATTGTGTCAATTACAAAGGAATTAAGTTAAAATGTCATGCTTTAAAATTATGGTAGAAGATTATTGAACATAAATTAAGACGTGATAAAATATTTCTCATAATCAGTTTGGATTTATGTCAGACATGTCTACCATGGAAGCTATATATTCATTGAGAGGTTTAATGGAGAAGTACAGAGATGATAAGAAGAATCTATATATGATTTTTATTGATTAAAAAAAAGCTTACTATAAGGTTCCAAGAAAAGTCCTTTGGAGAGTTCTAGAAAAAAAATGTGTTGATTTGACTTATATTCAAGTCATTAAAGATATGTATACTAGAGTTGTTACTTGTGTTTGAACAAAAAGCGGATTGACCTATTTTAGTTGGATTACATCAAGCATCGGCTTTAAGCCCATATCTTTTTGCTTTAATTATGGACGCATTTACTAGACATTTATAGGAGGATGTGCCTTGGTGTATGTTTTTCGCTGATGATATCCTTCTTGTGGATAAGACTAGAGAAAGTGTTCAAGAAAAACTTGAATTATGGAGGTCTACATTGGAGTCTAAAGGTCTTAGTAGAACTAAAATTGAGTACATGGAATGTAATTTTAGTTGTAGTAGCTCTAGTGCCAGAGTTTTAAATATCTCTGTCCGCTTGTTCAGAGGGATGGTGATATAGATATGGATGTTATTAATATAATTCAAGTTGGTCGGCTGAAGTGGAGAAATGCTCCTGGCCAATTGTGTGATAGGAAAGTACCGTTTAAACTAAAAGGAAAATTTATAAGATGGTTTTGAGAGTTGCATGCTCTATAGCGCAGAATGTGGGCCTTTAAAAGAAAAGCATAAAACAAAGTTAAAGTGTTGTTGAGATGAGAATGCTTAGGCGGATGAGTGGGTTGACACTTAGAGACAAAATGCTAAATGAATAAATCTTTGATATGGTTAGTGTAGCTCCGGTGGCGGACAAGATAGAGAAAGTCGTCTTAGATGGTTTGGTCACATTAATTGTCGACCACCTGATGATTTGGTTATGTGAGTAGATGTTTTAGCTTCAACTGGTGCTGAGAAAGGGAGAGACAGACCTAAAAAGAATTGGGCATGTTGGATAAAAAATGATCTTAATCTACTAGAATTAAATGAAAATATGACACCTAATAGAACACAATAGAGAAAAATGATTCATTTAGCCGACCCATGTAGTGGGATAAAGGTCTGTTGTTGTTGTTGTTGTTGTTGTGATTGTTTGAAAAAGAGAAATCATTTGTATGAAGTACTCATAATTAGTTATCAAGTGTGTGATATTTTTTTATGCTTCCATCGTACCACAAAGATACATTGATGGCTGCATCTGAAATTATATGGATGTGCTTATGCTATCTTTACACACTTAAATGTACATAAACAGACAGAATAAGGGTGGCCTATTATATTACTTCTCTGGTTCAGCAACAAAGCCAAAGCTTCTTTTGCTACTCAGGAAACCATTTTTATAACTTCAAATAAAAATGACAACTTGAGAATTCTTCAGCGCATAAAATGAGTTTATTAATTAGTAAATATATATTTAATATCACAATTCTAATCACTTTAATTTTAAATTCAGTAAAATAATAATAATAATGTGTATGTTATATATTTGCTAATTTCTTACCCACACAATTGAACTCCCTTGAAACGCTGTTTACATTATTACAATGTGGAATATTTACACAATCTACCATCTATACTTTGCTTTTTTGCTTTCTACCATCCAAATCTTTGCGACTGCTAACATCCGATGACAAATTGGCAGCTTGGGAGCGGATTTCTTAAGAAACATTATCATTTTAGAAATCTGTTGATTTATGTAATCCTGGTGATAGTTCTATTATTGTTAAAAATAGATATTTATGTCCCTAAATTACTCAAAGCGTTGGCATGGTTTGATTGTAATGCATAGTGTCAAAATAATCTTCTCCGAATATTTATATAAGGTCATTTCAGCGTCAGAGTTTATAGAAGTGTCAAAATAGTCATCAAATATATTAAAAAAATTGTGCTCCATTGGGACTATTTCATCACTAATTTTAGAAGACTGTCGACCATATTGATATTTTTATAAACACAAACTAAAACAACGTTATTTAATTAGTTAGAGACTATTTTGACACTTTCATGTATTGCAAGTTCAATTAATTTAAATTTATTGTATTTTGCTAAAAATATTGAATGATTTGTGTTATGAATTATTGAAAGTTTATAAGGGGGTTTTGTCATAAAATCATTACATTCAGAGCACACAATACTTATGTATTTACATTTCTCGCACATACATAGCACTTTATTGCTTTAAATTTATACATGACTGCATGTATGCCTCACAATTTTTATACATTTTGATATCAAACATCTAAAATTCCATATTTACTTGTATGGAACTCAACTTTCTTTATTAAAAAAACAAGAGTACAAATATTGCACTCTTACGTATACGACTCAAATCTTTAACATCACATTATATATACCATCAATATCATTACTAATTTTTTAAAAGTGAAATATACAGTTTCATACATAAATATATGACGCCAAAATGTGCTAAATGTAAATATGAAACTTTGGGTATTATAAATGTAAATACATTAGAATTGTGTGACATGTAAAATTCCCAATACTATAAATAAAAGAAGTGCACTGTCTTCATCTCCAACTTCCCCATCCAAATTCAACAGATCTACTAACAGTCTTGTGAAGTATCAAAGTGCTCATCAATAATAATCCACATCTCATTTGAAGTCTATAGATCCGACACTTTATATAAAGACTGTTCTTCGTGCTCTTCGTGAGATATTTGCTCTTCAATATCCTCTACAATTTCCCTATATGCAATTTCGAATCAAATCATAAT